TTTTCAGCCTGGGATCAAAGCAGTAACATTGTAGCTCAGAATAAATGGCAAAATAATTCATGGGGTTACAAAAACTGGTCTGCAAATTCTACACCAAATCCTGGTTGACTCAGAACATGACATATCCAATTTATAAATGGGCCAAGACCCAGTGAATACCTCTTCCCTTGAAGGCAACAGGAAGCAAGAACATTTAGCATTTGTCTCTCTTGGGCCCACAGCTGGACACAAAAATACCTTTGAAACAGAAGCATGGCTTTTTTTTCTAGTGAATATTTTGGTCAATTCTTTGTGAACAAACCCTTACTTATTCATTTCTTTCTTTCAGATTTACTGGAAAAGTTTAAGCTGATGATATACGGAAGGTGAGAACTTTTTCCTTGCTGAAGCAAGTGGGGGTAGAGGAGCATTTGCAGGTATGGCATGTTGGTCCGAACCGTCTAATTGTTGGTAATGGCAAGCTGCAACACAATTTTTTTTTTTTTATTTCAAACATGAAAAAGTCAAACCCCAGGTTCCCCCACATTCTTTAGAAGTAAGCAAAGATGCTTCTGACCACCTATTTTTCCTTCTACACTAGTGCCAGAGACAAGTCAGAGCAGCCAGAAGAGCAGCCACAACTAAAGGAGCCGGTATTTCTGCAGTACAATTTGTCTCTCTTTGCTCTCCTCCTACTGACTGGCATAGGAATAACCTCTCCACATGCTGGTGTTCCCTGCATAAAATGTGATCACCAGACACTGATATGAGAATCTTCAATGTTAGTTTTTGCAGTACTGCAGCAGCAAAAACTGGGAGGTGCTGGGAATCCCCCCCACTCAGTGTAAGCATTTTCAAGTCAAGGATAGACCAACCATCTCTGTTATTGATATCCAGATCAGTTATGATCTCTGCCTCTGTCATGTGGGATTAATTGTGTACTCATGTAAGGCACACCACAAACATGAGCAAGAATAGTCATGTGAGTCGAGCAAAATTATCGGACTAGTATAACTTGTAAAGCTGCGCCTTGTCCTGTTATTTTCTCTAAGTGTTGTTGATGGAAAACATTTTATTTAAAAAACTGAATAAAAGTATATTGCAAGTATATATTGTTTTAAATCTTAAACATTTAACATTGTGAAAACATCTCAGTGATGAATTTGGGACTATTTTATCCACCAATGCCAGATTTACATCTCTGCATTGCAGAGAACTGCTGAGATTATAAAAGCCAGAGACCTAGCAGGAGACCTTATTCTTCACCCTCTTAGAGGTGTTAATGATATTTTTATGCCCCATGGGAGAAACGTGTGAATTAGAAGGCACATCTTTCAGTGAAAAAGTGGGTTCCACATATTTTCTTTGACAAGCATGTGCAAATTTGGGTCATGAATTGGGCTGATAAAGAGATGAATAAAATGTACAAGGCAGATTAATCGAACTTCAGGGCTTGATCTTGCTTCTGCTTAACTCCGCATCATGTTCTTGTACTAGCAGCCAGCTTGTGCTATCTGCAGTCACAGATAAGCTGCAAACTTTTTGACTAACTATGCATTTCTAATGACCACAACAGCTCTGATTAGTTTGCTGGTTACTTAAGCACTGTGTAACAGATCATCAGCTTTGCAGAGCCCTGGGATTGAGGGGAGGGGAAGATGTCCCTTACAAAAATATCTTTTCTTTTCCCTTCCTGTCAAAATACACTGCTCATGTACCTCAGGAGGGTCACTGCTCTAGCAGCGTGGAGAAATGAACAGCAGAAGAGACTGTGAACCAGAATTTCATCACCGGGTTCCCCAGGTTGCTTTGCAGTTTAATCATCCTAGTAGTGAAAAGCTGAAAATCAACAAACTGCCAAGCATCTTACAAGTCAGCTGGCTGGAAAATGGACAAGTTTAAGCCTGCTCATTTCCATTTGATCTGTGCTGAAACCAATACCCTCCCAGCAATTTTCCCAAAGGCAAAATACCCCATCAGAAATATCTAGATGTTCTAGATCTTCATTGTTCAATGACTGAAGTGCGCTATGCCCTACGTACAATGCACTGTTCAAGCTCTTGTCCTCAATGCCAAATAAATAATTTATTTGTAGGCATTTTTGTGGCATCCAGTGTTGTGGCATTAAAGTGCTTCAAAAAAACCCACAAATTTCTACTTTGCAGCCTTCCTGTAATATGAAGATTATTTAACTCCATGTTACAAACAGGAAAGTGAGGAATTGAGACCTTGAGTTGCCTAGGATCTGATTTCTAACAGCATGTGGTATTACATAAAATTTTACTGCTTCAAAGCCACATTTCTATTGACTATATCTGGGTCTGTACATAGTCAATACTTCTGCAAGTCAGACCCAGGTGTTTTTTAATAAGCATTTGAAAATGAGGAACTCAGAGTTGTTGGCTGTTTCTGAAAGCTTAACGCCTTGAAGGCAGATCTGAAACAGAATTTCAGGCTCTGTAAAATGAGTGTCACATGGGTGGAAAGATTAAGGCATCAATGAGGACTTAGGTGACTCATAATGGGATCTGAAACAGTCAATGATGAGGAATGGTGTGCAGCCAGCACTCTTCACATGCCACATATATAGGTCATCTGGAGGAGACTATGGATGAGCCTTGGAAACATGAAGACTTGGGGAAAAGAAATCTTAGTGAGTCTCACAGAGCATCCTCTTTCTTGCAGGAAAACTACTGGGAGACCTGAGCCTGGAACCTCTTCTTGTTGAAGGTTCCTTTTATGAAAATTCCCTGTTGTCTTTTCTTTCTGGGGACTGAATATAATTTACTACAATATTTTAAGATGGTTGATAGAAGATAAGCATTTCCCTTCCCTGTCTAAGTAGTAGTGGTTAGTCAGGAAATAGATGCCTCAAGTTGCCTCCCTAGTCTGACCATGGAACTTGTTATCTGCGCAGGAGATTGTTTTAACCACAAAACTGCTAGGTACTGCCCATGTTTAGCATCAAAGATGCGCAATAAAAAACTTGTTGATATAATAACTCAGGGAAAGATGAAGATGCCATGCAGGAGGGCAAGAGAATCTCCAGCCTTGTGAAAGGGCAGTCACCAGCTGTAAGGTAGTGGACATGGCTTTGGTATCTGCTCTTTAGATTGAACTTTGGGGTTATTGAGTGACTACTTAATGTGAAATAGTGTCCTCGAAGATAAGACTAAAGATGAGGTCTTTTGCCTTCTAACTGAACAGTATTTCAGGCATCTGCTTTCCTTTTGCCCAATGACCATTGCTTGCTCTTCAACTGGTCAGGTGAAAATCAGCCCAGATTGTGGTAACTAGCTTACTCTCTGGCTAGCAAGGAAGAAGGTGGATAAGGCTTTAAATTCTTTCCAAAGAGAGTCCTGAATGTACATGCTCTTCCTCCCGGGAAAGTACTCTAGAGGAGGAGTTACCCTATTTCCTACCCTTGACTGTGTTTTGAAAGAAAGTAGTTGTATTTCTAAAGAAGAAACATAGTCTTATTGATGTGCTTTAAGCATGCTCCTTACCAGCACTGGAACAGCTCTCTGAGTCTCAATTGACGAAATCCAATTGCTCTATAATTGCAATGGATATCTGCTTATACTTGTCCTTAAGTATCTTAAGTACTGCTATCTTAAGTACTGCTATCTTATGTTATGACAAGCAATTACTAGGGCATAATTCCCCAGTAGTCAGAGGCTGCATGAGAATTGTCCCCAGTTGAAACCGAAACTCTGAAGTTCCATGCCAGCTCCATTTCTTGTGTTTCTCATGCATTCTTTTCTTATGGAGGTGCCCTTTTCTCGGAATCACACAAGACCTTCAGGCAGAATCAGTGGCAGAATCTCATTTCTCAGGACATCACTCAGTAACCAGTCTACTTTGCCTTTTCCTGTAGTTCTAAATCTCAGTCAGCATGTGTTCTCCAGCAGCAAGTAGATGAGACCTGATCAAGGAGACAGGAAAAGGCCTCCCTCTGAATGGGCTGTTGATTGATTTTTTTTTGTGCTGAAGTATTTTTCTGTACTATTTACTCTTAGGAGACCGAGGACTGTGCCGCATGCACAGGGGAAATGTTACTACATAAAGAGTATGTCAATATTAGTAAATCAAATGCTGTCAGAAGCTGAGCTCAGGCCATGAAATTCAATCCCTCAAGCTGTTACATTTCTGGCACAGTTTTGTTTTACACTAACTAATGCTCCCTCAAACAACTCTGTGCTCCACACAGCCATCTTGTGTAGTTTAAGAGTTATCATAGACCAAAGACCAGTCCCAAAAAGGAGCTTGGATGTACCCATCATGTTTAAGAGGCTGAGAACAGTTATTACAGTTATGTCAAATAAGCTAAAAAAAACCAACAAGGTGTGACTGGTCTCAGCAAATGGATGTAGTGCAAAATTACTGTTGGACAAGACCATGTTTTCTTTCTAGACCACTAGAGGGTGCAGACAAACTTACTTTGTCTTGAAGATTTTATTTTTAGGTTACAGAGACCTGAATATTGCAGGTTTTTCACAAGAGTATTTGAGGAAAAAAAGCCGAAGGGATCATGCCTTGCTGTCCTCTAAAAACCCACTTACGTTATCTGTAGCATGTAAAAACCAGTCTGCCTTTCTCCTGCTAACCACTGTCCTGACACCGCTCTCAGTCCTCATTTACCTCGATTTCATACTACCAGTTTTCCTCTTCTCTCATTTTTTTTTTCTTTCCCTCACCATTTCTGTTCCTGCTTATCCACAGTTTCCTATCCTACTTCCCACCATCCCCCTGTGTTCCAGGAAGATTTCCATTTGATCCCTGCACTGCTTGACTCTGACAAGAGGAAGTAACAAAAGTAATGAAGGCTTATTCTCAGCCTGCTGAGCCATTGTAGCCAATAAGTGGGGTCTACTCAGTGTACCCAGGGTCCTAAGAGAACAGAATTTTAATTGAGATGATTTAGAGAATCTCAAATACTGATCATATTTTTGAGAAGTTGAGGGTGAGGGGGAGAAAGGAAAAGTCTTTTCAAGATTATTCCTTTCTTTATGCTTACTCACCTACTCAAAGCAGAGGCTTGTGTTCTTGAATATTCCCTTTTTGCCTCAGCAGTTCCCTCATACAGCTAAACTCTGCATGTAACATCCTGCTACAGAGAATGCAAAACTTTTCATCTTAAGTGTTGATCAGACTTACAGGCTGCTCCCTAAGGAATTTGTCTCGATGTGGTCACCGCTGATGTTTCCGTGCTGCAACAGATCAGATTTCCTCTATGAGTAGAGCTTCAGAAAGGACCAAAGAAAAAACCTTTTAAGAGTCAGTTGTTACCAAAATAAAAGGAGTACATCTAAAGATAATGCTGAACAGTGACAAGAACTGATAACATTGCCTTTCATGGCTTTAAAACACAGTTCACTAGCTGTAAAACGTATCTGTGCAGGATCACTGAAGATGCAAAATATCCACATCTGAAGATGAAGAGAATGGAAAAGGGCACATACATTTTGGTGACTTGATATATTCCCTTCTTACTTTAGCAGATCTGAATCAGGTGCAGTGTATCTGATAGTACGTAACCCTAGCTGCTTCATCATGACCGTACGAGTGTGTAATTTCTGTTGTTATTTCAAGACTTAATGAGCAGTTCAGAGAGCGAGAATGTGAGCACAAAATTATTTTCAATTCATCAGCTGCTGAACCTGAATTCCTTATGCGGTAGCGTGAAAATGTAACAGAAATGTGTAGCTCTTGATGGACAAGCTTATAGATGCCTTGCCCCAGCCTGATTGACTCTTGAGCCCTCATCAGTCTGTGCAATATCAATGAGATGTCAATGTTACGGTATCAATGAGAGTTAAATACAGCATTTAAAAACCTGAGCTGTTGCATGAAGCACATACAGATTTCTCTCTCTCTTCCTCTGTCTGAGTATTTGGCTTTATTTAAATATTCAGCAACACTGAAATGTAAGACTACCAATGGAAAATTTCCGTAAGGACAGAAGTCTTCAGATCAAAAATGTGTGAAAAGAGACCAGATCAAACTGACATTACCAGATTCAAGGATGTAGAAAATGAACCATGTGGGATATTTCTCATTGTTTAGGGTGTAAAATTAGACAAAAATTGGATTATATTACCCATTTTAAACCTATTTTAAAATAACAGCCCTAATTCTCAGGCTAAGAGACCCTCACAGGTTTCTGGCATATAAATAGTAAGCCCAGGAGGAGCACCAACTTGACCTTCCCATTCAAGAGCTGGCAGTAAGAGTAAACAAGCCCAAACAACAGTTCCAAAGACATTTACTTATAAAATGAGCTCATTTCATCCAGGAACTTTTAAGGCAGTAGTCAAGGGTCAAACATTCCTGTTTCTATAAAGTCATTTTTCAAAGAAGAATCTCCTTTTGCACTCTGTGAAAAACATGAGAACACTGTCAGTAAGTATGCCTGATATTAAAAACATCCTTCTGTCCATTTGGAGGCTTTGCAAGCATTAGTTGTCAGTGTTCGACCCCCCTGTACTTCTGCTTCAAAACAACCTTTTATCTGGAAACTATGCAAATATCAAATGAAGTTGTTAGGTGGCAATATGTGTGCAAAGTGGAAGAGAGCACTGTGAGAAGACATTTGAAATCACCTAAGTTGACCCTTTTTGCACTTACAGTTGTCAGAGAGAGCAAAATCATCTGCAGAGGCAGAGTTGAGCCAAAAAGTTGAACCCAAACCCACCCTGGAAGTCAGAAGGTGAAAACACAGTTTCAATAAATGTACCTCAAGTGATGCAGAAGCAGTGGGTAAGCTGCTGGCTGGTGACAGGGGAGGCCTGGGTTCAGGTCTTTGCTCTTCCCCCACAAAGCTGCTGAGTACTTTTCCTTGGGTTGTACCTGTGCAGTAACTGGGAAATGTGACTGCAGGATGAGTAGACACACTGTGGCCAATTTTCATTCAGGGGGCCGTAGCATAGGCTTCAAGTATTTAGCAGCTAAGGCCATACAGAACTCTAAGGAACAGCAGATTGTTTAGTACTGACACTCAAACTGAGAAGACTAAGGCTGATGCAAATGCATCAACCCTTGCCATATCTTCTTCCCTAGCAGGATGATGACAGGCTCTCTAGCTGCATCTAAACTGACGTATAGCTCCTTGAAAGGGAAGACCTGGGATTCTTGATCAGATTGCCTTCCCTGGGGAGCTGCGAAAACCAGGGCACAAGTCTCGCATCAACTGGGATTCATCCCAGTTCCTCATCTGCAGGTGACAATGACAAAACTTCTCATAGTCTTTTAAGGGTCAAATTCATTACAAAGGTTCAAGTGCTACCATAGTAGCAATCTCACAGGGAAGGTGGTGGTGACTTAGAAATGAATTCCAAACCTTGATAAGACTGATGTGTCTGAATCAAACAAATGCTCATGAAAACCTTAGCTATATTCTCCCCACCACTATGTATAAAATCCAGAGAGTGTTTAAACCAAACAGTGAGCACAGTCAAGGAGCCAATGTCCAAACATCAAAACTGATTACAAGCAAAGACTTAAAAAAAATCCAAATGCTAAAACCCTGAATCTCCAGTATATGATTTCACAAAGGGATCCTCATGGCACATACAATTTCACTTTCTGTAGGGCAACCTGATGACTGCACATTATTACAGTACTTGCCCTACGGATGGCTATTTTATGCTTGTTTCTGAACTATTAAAGAAAACTTCACACAAATAAGCTCTCTCTCTGTCTATTGAGACAACAAATGCAGTATGCAAGAGTGCATTGTGTTACGAGACTTCCTTCTGGTGCCTGTCTTTCTAAGTTCAGTTTTTATGCATCAAAAGACCCCGATGAAATTACATCGTTCTATGATACGGTTCCACAGTCACTTCTGAATGTATGTTTGGTTGCTGCAAACCTGAGGAACGGTCTCAGGATGACTATAATGCGTGACTCTGCAATAGCTAAAGATAGATATCAGGTTCAGATTTACAAATAAAACTGGACCAAAATTATCAGGTGGGGTTTTTTTCCTTTTATTTTTTCTCCTCCCCAAATATATAGAAGCTCATTCTTCCTCCTTTTAAAAATAGTATCTTTATAGTGTTTCAAAATATGACTTCAGTGTTGACGATAATACGAAGACACACTAAGATTTTTATTACTCTCCTTACTAAAGCAAATTGTACACCTGAGAACCTCTTATTTTGATGCTGGTTTGTGCAGAGTAAACTCCTTATGTCTGGCAGTAAGAGTTTTCTTTCTTTTTTATGGCAGTATTTGCTGTAATAATTCTAATTGTATAATATATTTTTTCGCTAATATTGCTCAATTAGTAACCCATGCAGTTCTTTAGTTCTACAGCTTACAGTCATCTGGCAAAAAGACACACATGTACTTCTTGGATTGCAATGAACTTTGTTCCCCCTTCAGATGCAAGTAATAGGAAGGAGATCAAATCAATCTTGGCTGAGTCTGACTCCACTGAAAAACAATTCTGAATAAACACTCAAGAAATGAAAAACTGTACTCCTTACCTGGTCTGGGATGGACAGTGCACCTTGAAAGCCTCTTAAATGACAGAGAAGAATTAGAAATAGTTGAAAGTTTGTACTCATCCAACCACAGGGCTCAGGAAATGACCACGTATTTTGCAATGATTAACTCCTTCCTCACTTCTTTTTCAAGTACAGTAAAAAAAAATCCATCTTACCCTTCCACTGCAGTTTGGTAACTAATGCCATGCTCTACACATGATTTCTGTTTCATATGCAGGTGGCCAGAGGATGTGATTCTGATCACCTCCATGGAAGAGAGAATTTACAGTGTCTTCAGCATAACTGTGATGAAGTACATTTTACTGTTGAGTAAAGCTTACGAGATGAAGTGCAGAAATGACTCAGTAATGGCTTGGGCTCCTAACTCTCATTTTTAGAAGAGGCTTAGAGCAATATTCTCAACATGACTTCAGTGCTGTGGTGCCCAACAGAGCAAGAAAAATAACAACAAACTTATTTAAAGGAGCAGCATCCATTGCAGTCTGAACAGGCATTGTATGTACAGTGCATACAGTGATTCTGTTATGCATAGGCGGTCTCTAGGGGAAAGACAGGAATGGCTAAACATCAATAGCTAGGTCCTGGGTGCATAAAGACCCTTCTACCATAAAAATGTGTTCCCCTTTGCTGAACATATCTGTTTGACTGAAAGGCATTTCTGAACCTAAGCACTGTTTAAAACCATTAGCCTGGAAACTAGTAAAGGCCAGTTTCACACAAGAGTACAGGTTGCCTTTGGGGAGCAGGCACCTTCACACTGAACCCAAAGCGACATCCAGGCTCTCTGCATGCAGGTGAAGGGGAAAATGACACCCCAAAGTGGATTCCATCCATCAAGCCAGCAGGATGAGAAATAAAACACTTCTAACGATGCAGACTGTAACAATGAAGACAGATCTGTGTTTTGTACCCTTCTCCTGTTTTTACAATTTAGAAAGCAAGCCCTGGACATAGGTATACATGTGTCCTTTCCACAGCCTTGAAGTCTCTTCACGTAGGCATGTGTGTGTTTTATTTTAAAAACCTTCTGGGGGAGGGAAGTGTTACTGACTGAATTTGGAATATTGGTAGAGGAAGAAAGAATAGAAATGTCACCAACGTGCACTTTCATACAATAGTTTCATACCTCAAGCACACAGCTATGATGGTTTGGGTTTAGTTTTCTGTTTGAGAGGACCTAAATCCATGTTTTGGGTGTAAAGTCATCAAAAGTCCACAGAAGTTAGAAGATGTAGGGATCTAGTCCATTCTTCTCAGCAAAGCTGAGCCGACAAAGTAGGATGTGTCAGCAAGCCTGTGCTCCACACACTTTTCCGTGGGAGAGGCTTTGTATGAACAACATTAAGGGACTTCAGTAACAAGGACCAGAGTTCAGCATTATCCAGATCTTGATGGATGGTGGATTTCAGAAACAGCTTTATTCTTAGCTTAGTACTACGTACAAGACCTGGTGTCTCAGATCTTGGATTCCACTCAGCAGAGTGGTCCATATTCATCAAATGATGCAACTTGCAGCCTTGTGCTTAGGCATTATCCCAGAAAGTGGGAATGGGGAGCCTGAATCTGATCAGACTGAAGGGTCTCAACTGCCTGGGTCAGTATTCTGGATTACTGCACCATGGGTGGCTAGGACCACATTCCCCAGAACTGCGCACAGCCACTATGCGGAGATCGCTGCTTCATCCACCTGTGTTTGGGAGGGTTCAGGCTCCTCTGGGCAGGCAGACACCATGTGGTGCTTCACCCTCCCCCAGATGACACCCCTGAGACACCTAACGACAGCAGACCTTATACCTCAGCCTCTAGAGCTTCTCAGAATGTGGAGAGACCTCATGTTTGGGTTATCTGAGACAGGGGTGAGGTTTTCTCACCTAGCTGTGGTCATTTGCACTACATATGTCTACACAAGGGAAAATCATTCAAGGTACTCCTGAATACAGGCAATGGAGATAAACCTTTGCAAGGCTCTTTATCTGGGAGTTTTAACAGCTAACTAAGAGTTACTTTCGCTATATATATATATATATATATATATATATATATATATGCATACTTGTATAATTCTTTTATGCAATCAAGATTTTCTAAAAACAATTAAATCCTTATTATCTTGAAGTTAAGTTCTTCCATTGACTTCCTAGGGATTATTTCCAGTAATAATGACTCCTATGGCATGCTCCTGAGAGATACTGAGGAGTGTTATCTTCACTTGGTGTTCATCCTTTCGCAGTCTACCACAAAAATAACAGGATCCTCAGTGTAAGCAGCTGCTTAGTTGTTTTTCTGTAATGGAGGCCAAAACATTTGGGTGATTCCTCAAGCTAGGGCTATTTATTAAATAGCTTCATATACAGAAGCATAAGGGAGTTTTACATAAAATGTGGTTGCAGGCCAAAGACTCGAGTTCTTCTTGCCTCGACTCCTCTCACTTTCACATACAAAAAATGAATCAACTGTCAGTCTTTGTCAGCTGCCAGAATTGCTTCTCACCATGAGCCTACAGGTAAACAGGAAGGAGTTTCAGTCTCACAACCTCAAAGCATGCAAAATATATTGAATCAGACCTCCTAAAAACTAATGAGATTTGGTTTGATTCTTAGGTTGGTATTTTGGTTGATACTTTTTTAACAGCAGTCTTTTTTCAGTTCAAATAGAAGTGCAGCTTTTTTCCACCATTTGATCCTTAAGACTACAGATATTTAAAATTTTACAAATTTTACACCTTACCATTTTTAAATAAATTTTTCTTTCTAAAACTGGGGAAAGGGACTTTCAGAACAAAAAAAAAAAAAAAATCAGCATTTAATTTTGGAAAAAAAATATGCAATTTGGCAGTCTGGGAGTACTATATAATATAATTAATATAAGCAGGCATTAATGCTGCTCTACAATATACTATGGTATCTCATATAATAATGAAACGAAAGTTTATTATTATTATCATCATGATCATGATCATCACCATTTTATTATTATGAGGAGCAGTACTATTACAAGGTAATTTGACAGGACTCATTTCACCATGTTAAAATTTCCTCAGAAAGCAAGTAGATAAACAAAGCATCCCTCTAAAGACTAATGACATCTTTCAAAATTATTATGAGCAATGATGTGAATTTTTACAGATCAGTTTCTTTTAGGTGAAGTTCTAGCTCGCTGTAAGTCCATAGTCGGCTTCTTACTGAGCTCGGTAGGGTCATGAATGACTCAGTAGGGTCATGAATTCATCTTGCGAGTCCTCCCAAGAGCTGTCTCAAGCAGTCTTTGACTATTTGGGTTCCTGCCTTTCTTGGTAAGAATCTGCACTTTGCCTGTATTCTCCTAGGAGATGGGGACATGACTTTTGTGTGAGACATTTTACACTACTTTGGTAGTATTTTAGACTTTTTTATTTTTTAATGTGATGTTAGAAAGCTCCTCAGTTTATCTCTAGTGCAGAGATCTTCCTCTAGGGCAAATCTGCACCAACCTTGAGGGCCACCTGAATGTGGCTCTGGCTCCTGGTGACCAGAGGAAGCAGGCACAGACTGGGATCTGATTTGCTCAGGGCCTTTGCTTTGCTTGAGATGGGCATTCCATTGCCTGGGGGAGCATTTCAGTCACTGCAGCATAGTGTCAGGATCTCTCCAACTAGATCTGTTCTATCACATCCAGGGAAACTTCCTACATTTTACATTGAGGTTTACATGTCCTGGTTACAGGGACACACCTGTACAGGGAACTTTGAGACCCTGTACATCTCCTCCCCCTTCAAACACACTCACACATGCCCCTTGGTTTCTGTGCAACACTGGAGGCACTCTCCAAATGAGACTCATGGCACGTGTTTTCCTTGCAGTCTGAGCAAGGGCTCCTGTGCTGTGTGGAGTAGGAACAGGTGAGTGAGACATTACTGCAAGCAAGGGATACAAAAATGGGGACAAAGAGAGGGAGAGTGATAACAGATGGCAGAGGGGAGTGAATACTCTGTGATGGGCAAGGGGGTGGGAGAAGCAGGGGAGCAGGGAAAAGAGCCTTAGGTAGGAGTAGGAAGAGAGCACAGGTTCTGACCTGGCACTCTGGCATGCATCAAAGTGCAAGTTCAGCTGCAGAATTTGTCTTTCCTATTCTATGCTGTATAAAATATTGAATTACTCTCTGCGCAGATTGAATCTGCAGTCTGGTGACTGGTGACTCTTCTTGGGAAAGAGGTGATGATTGGATCGAGAACCAAGAGGTGCCTCAGTTTCCTGCTGTTGAAACTAAACCCCACTCTGTGAAGCACCAGCGCTCTGCTTCCAGGTCTGTGGCTGTCACCTCACAGCACCCCTGTGAATCTAGCACTGACATTTTTAGAAAAAAAAAAACCTCAAATAAAAAGATGCATTTGGACTGAAAATGAAATCCTCATCAGCACAAAATACCATACACATTTTTGATTCATTAAAAATTCTTGACAATTTTATCCATGATCCTCAGTATGCCAGGGGTTTTAAGGTGTTGATCACTGTCATTGCAGGTTTGATCACTGCCTGCATTGCAGACTGCAGTGAAGTGCAGCAGTACACAAGCTTTTTCTGAATAAAACCACCTGCATAGCACAAAGTGGCTAGAAATGTATCTTGAATTGACTCAGCTTCAAGAAAACTAACAACTTTTTTTAAAAATCATTTAGAAAACTCTGTGCTTGCTGGCTGATCGCTGGTCTGACTAACATTGACTACTAGGCAGATTTCAGTTTGATAATCCTGACACTCAGTCAGACTTTAAAAGTGACTTCTCCTTGCTATTATGTCTATTTCAGGGTATGATCCCCATATAAGTGGGTCTCCCTTAATTTTCCCAGGCAGTGTAAAAGGGACATTAAAGATCAAAAAAGAAATAAAGCAGGGATCAGAGTTTTTTCCTTTGTATTTAATTATCGGGGCATTTTTCCACCAGTCATATGAAGTCCAATTATGTTTGTCATTTGTCTTGCTAAAGATGTATTTAAATTTCAACCAGCTTAAGGACTGGACTCAGGAGTAAGCACCTCAGGTTCTGTTTCTGTGGGACAAGGGTTTGGAAGAGGCAGGATTCAGACCTCAGTCCGTTGGGTTATTGCATTTTGCAGAAAGAACTTTCTCCCTTACAGAGACAAGGAGAGTGGTCAGGAGATTGAGTAACTTGGATTGGAGGAAAATGCACTCACTTGTTGCTGTTTTCCAAGCACCTGCTTGAGCTGGGGCCCCAAGATTAGAGAGAGGATACTCTCTGCTGACATGGCCACACACCCATTTCTCTGA